TTAGTTTTTCTTCATCGTTTTCCTTTCAATTTTATATTTTAATATATTTCTTTAACTTAGTTTTTCTTCATCGTTTTTCTCAATAACTAATACTTAAACTACGCTTTAAATACTAAAGGTAATTTAACTTACCTAATATTTACATAAAAAAATAAATAGTTCTTTATTTAAAGATCAAATTGTTATTATTAATTTTCCGATGCGTCCTGCATCGTTTTGCGTCTTCTCTGAGTTCCTTTTCTTTTATTTTCTTCTTCTCTCTTTATTTGGCATTTTTATATTCCCGAAAGAATAATCTACAGTACGGTATTCAACTACCTCACGAGAAAAATTTGCTCTCATCAAATAATTACATTGCCTTCGGTTTTGCGTTGCGCGCGAATAGATTATTTTGCTGCACGGAAAACACGCAGCTACAGATAACAAATGGCAGAGTGCAATGATGCGTAACCACATAACACAACTCTACTGGCGCGCGGGCTTCGAGATATCAAGTTGATTAAAAATGTATAACTTTATATGGATTGTTTAAAAAAAAGACAAAAAAATCAAAATATTAAAAGGAAGGGCCACCAAACATTTCTTAGGCGAAGGATAATTTATTTTGATATTAACTACCTTCATGTTAGGCGCAGTTTAATTATGCTAGATTTTTTTTAAAATCATATTTAAAAGGCACTTTCTTTAAAAGGGGGGTCGACCGCACCCATCGACCCCCCCCCCCCACGGTACGCCCCTCATTTCTCTATTTAGATGCAAATTTTAAAATAAATGTTTTAATTGGTTGTACAGTAACTGCATGCTCTTATTTATTCTTAACATTTCTTGGTAGCCAGACATCAACTTGTCTTTCCATTAAAATATTACTAACATTGCCACTAACATTATCGTCATTCAATATACAAAACGCTATACACAAAACAGTTTCTTTGCTAATATATCTACACAATTATTGTAGAACAAAAATGCATTAAGATCACTTTTTATTTAGTAGTGGAGCTACCAAAACCATTGTCTCTCGATAGACGAAATATTGGAGGCGCAGAAATATATTTTTTTTTAATTGGAGGTGGTCTTTAATTGGAGGGATCTTTAATTGGAGGGAGAATTGTACTTATGTAATGAATATAGGCCTACATTACTATATTATGTGGATTTATTAATAATGTTTGTATCACATTGTCTTTTTAATGTTGTATAGGCTTATTACATTAATTTCTCTAAAATTATGCATATGGTATTTCCCGGCTGAGGAGCCATTTTTTCAACCATGGTAAAAAAAAAATGTGTTACACCCCATCACCCACCCACGCCCACTCTTATTGGCCGGACCACTTGCAAAGTACTTCCGACGGCTATAGTGATTGCGATATTACTGGCGTTCGCTACGCCGTGCCCAAGTTCACACCACTCGATTAACGATACGCTAGCGTAAGTCGTTGTCTCTAAACATAGCCTTAGGCCTAGTTCAGACTAGGTGAATAAACCTGGCTCAACTCACCGGGTTTATCCACCTGCCAGTCTGAACTAGGTGGCTTATCTTAAGCCGGGCTGTGTTCCTATGTAACTAGGCCTGGCGCGCCACCGTGTTTCTAAGCCGGGCTTTAATCGTTGCGGGGGGTCTTGCACTGACTTCGGTTGACAAAATGACCAATCAGCATTCAATAGACCTTTCCAGAGTGTCAATCAAACTTAACAACTGACTAATCAGAACAACGCTAGGAATACGCGTGCGTCTCACAAACACACGTGTTGTCCCACAAACGCACGTGTTTGCGTATGCTTTAACACTGGCTATGTTCTCACACGGCTGCTAATGGTTAATAACCGTTAGCTGCCGTGCGTCCATACGAGAAATCCCAATCCGGATATCAAAAATATGATGATTGAATCACTGGCCAATAAGAAGCTGGAAATTGCAAACGCAAGTGATTGGTTGATAATAGAAACGCGTTCTTGATAACCGGTAGCGCTTGCTAACCGTTAGCGGTATCCGGATACTGCTTACGGTTGGTGATAACCGATCGGGCATTCTCACGCTGTGCTAACGGTTAGCGCTAACCATTAGCTCCCGATCCGGATACTCGGGCTATGTTCCCACACGGCAGCTAACGGTTAGCAGGATCCGGATCCTGCTAACCGTTAGCTGTCGTGCGTCCATACGAGAAAATTCCGATCCGGATACCAATAATATGATGATCGAATCACTGGCCATTAAGAAACTGGAAATTGTAAACGCGTACGCTGTGAGCGAGCGTACGTTTCGCGAGCAATGTTTTGAAACACGTTTCCTGGTTACGGTTCATTATTATGCAAATTCTCGCCTGGCTAATCCTGCTAGTCTGAACGCCCGGCAAAGTTAAGCCGGGCTTAACGTTGAGTCGGACTTAACTCAAGCCCTGGCTTATCTCAAAGAAGTCTGAACGTAGGTTGTAACTATGGAATCGACATTCTAGGCACCGCGCGTCCCTACACGTCACAAAAACCATAGCAACCAGACCATTTAACCGTCAGCGTGGGACGAATTACCCACGCGCGTGTTATTTGCCATGATAATAGCACGTCGTGCGGTGATTACAAAGGCTTATTGATATTTTGCACTAACATTAGACTAAAATTATATTCTTCATTTCAACATTAATTTTACCGATGTTGTGGTGTATTGTCGTTCATGAGACTTACTTCGCAGAAAAAAATAATACTGTACATTTTCTGTATCTACTCAAATGTTCGTTTTGTGCACCTTAGTCCAACATTGTCAAAATAACAGTTTAGTGTTACATAAGAACATGAAATGTTATCAATTCGTAAATTTTCAATTGCTATAACTTTTCGTTTTCCTTTTCAATTTTCACAAATCAAATTGCAGTTTATAGAAGCATTTAATAAGCTCGTGGTAAAAAGAAATCAGATGTAACAGACATTGCTAAGTACCAAAAATTAATAAAATAGTAACTAGGCCTAACACCATAAAACGTGACGGTTGTACTCGCAACTAGTATCGGATTGTCGAAGCCACAGTAAAGATCAAAGGACTGTACACACGCAATATGTTCGAGAGCGGAGATGTGCGTACTTTTGTTGAATTGCATTATACGCGGAAACTCAAAAATTGGAATTTTAAAACTTTTAATCAAACCTCCGATTTCGGAGTTTCTGCGTACTAAATTAAACAAACTCTCCCTAGGCCTATAATATAGAGAGAGATAACTTTTAATCAATCCTCCGATTTCGGAGGTACATACATGCAACCCCACTATAGAATCGATCACTAATAACGTGTCGTCTATGAGTAGTTAACATAATAATATTATAGTAAATAAGTAACTCCACTTACCGTGGTAAGTAATCAACTGGTCCTACGGACGCTCAGAGATAACAAATATAAACTGGTCTGTTCTGTTCTCACGTGCCGACTATTCAAGTGTCCAACGGTATTTGAAGTTAGTACGCACACTTCTACACTACACGCTGATGACGATAGAGGTTCATCAGCGTGCGTACTTAACGACATCTTTTAGCAACAGGCGCTACACCACAATGGTTGAAGTTGGACCGATAATAAACTTTGTAATGGCGTCTTTAGATTTCCGAAAATGGCATTCCAATTATAATTGTACTTTCAAAAATGTTTTCAAAATAGCCTTGTAATGTTTACAGTATTTAAGCTAAATAAGTGGGCCTGTCTATATCTTTCAATACTAGTTGAGTTTGGCGGAAGCAGATCTGCCAACTCACCCGATCCTGTCCGAGGTGTAATCCATATCTAAACAAATCTCCAGTTCTCCCGATCGAATGTAATTTTCACCCGATTTCACTGATTTTACAGGTTGCCTCCGCAAAATAATCCGATTTATACATAAATGATTGATTAGATCGTTATTATTCAATGTATTCGCCGCGATAGACAAGCAGCAATTTAATAAGTTGTTTTGCAGTAATTTTGTACCATTGATTTTTAAATACTACTATATGACAAGTCTTCACGTGTCTTTTTTAGTAACTTTGCATCATATTTTGGTTAATTTTAGAAACCTCCAGATTTGTTGGTAAATCTCCAGAATTTGTTAAGATTTTTAAAAAAATCTCCAGATTTTCATGGCCCAGGGGTTGGCAGGTCTGCGGAAGAAAGGAGTGCTTCGGACAATTTACAACTTTTCATAGACAAATTTTCGCGTTGCAACAATTCGTTCATGAAAGACTCGACAACGCAATTTTCGTCGCCAGGCAGGAAATCAGAATTGGTTCACCAAAGTTTGCTTCTCAGCAGCTAGCTAGCTAGCTCAGGCTAATTTCCGTCGTGTAGCAACGTAGCAAGTACAGTAGCAACAACTGAGAAATCTGCGCAGTAGGTATGGGACATTTTAGTCAAAAACTAAGGATAACTCATAGTTTTATTCCTGTTTTATACACATTAATGGTAAAACATACCAATATCGTGACAAGGCTAGGACCCGGATTAGCCTAGGTCTAGGCCTAGATTAATAAGGAATGCCGGCTTTCAAGTTGATGCAACTTTTAACCAATCAGATCCGTTCAAGTCCGGTCCGGTGATAATTGAAGCTGCGATCTTTTGCTGAACTAGGGCATAGGGCTAGGCTAAACAAGCCTAGACTAGAGCCAGGCCTGGACTAGGCCAAGCCAGACCATAGCTAGAGGCCAGAATAAGTTAGCGGTCGCCTAGTACTAAGTAAAGTAGTAGTACCTGGCCAGCTAGGCTAGGCCCTAGCCTAGACTAGGTCCTACCACCACTAGGCTAGCGTTCGGAAGAACTTTACATAGGGCTAGGCCTAGGCCTATCCCCTTAAGTATCTAGGAGGCATTAAAATAATTTAAAAAAAAACAACAGGGACTAGCATGTGCATAGGCCTATGCCTAGTACAGACAGAACATTTTTTGCTCTTTAATTCGGGCAACGCCGCAAAGCTTTTTGGCAACTAGGCCTACAGTACTAGCTGGTTGTGTAAGGTGGTGCACCGCGAAAATATTAAACGGTCCTGATTAATGGTTAATTAAATTAATTAGAAACCATCGCACTATCGGATAATAAGGGTATTATATGAAAGTCTAATCAACAAAGAATGTATTAGAATTGCCAGGGTAAATAATTTGGTAATCAATTTATCAAATTAACATATTTCTATTTCAGAATATTCTTCCATCGATCAAACATCTGAAATTCAATTCAAATTTATTTCAGAAGATGGAAACAAAAAAAGAACATGATGCTAACTTACAAGGATCATGAAGGACATATATCTCTCAGCTCTAATTAAGAAATGCATGGAAAAAGCGATAATAATTTTATCTTGCTATTTCTTGTAATTACATTGCACATGGCAACAGGTAGGATGTACTTTGTGTAGGTCACATATTGCCTTAATAATAACTGATTATTCGTATGTAATAATGACATTATTTGACCAGTATTGACAAGGAAACTTAATCTTGACTGAATGATCACAAGCTAATTGTGTTAGGTAAATAATCCTTCTGGGAAGCAATCTAGAAATATGATAAATGAATGCAATGTTCCAATTTATTATATGGTATGAACTACATACTTTCCTAAAGCTACGTTCACATCAAGCCCGGATCCGATCCAGAGGCCGGACAAAAAATTGTGAGTTGCTACGTTTTTTGATCGCTGCGTTCGGGTTAAGTAAGTATGTGTTCGATTGGTTCAAACCAACCAAGCTTGTTGCTGATTGGTCCAAGAAAAAAAACGTATGATTTCAGGATACAAATGGCTTTCAGATCCATCAGTCCAGATCCAGAGTCCGGATTGAAAATCGTACGAATTTGATGTGAACGGTCCTATTCTTTACCACTAAACCCATTTTTCACGATTTTTTTCTCCGGACTGCAGACCGGAATCCGGGCTTGATGTGAACATAGCTTAAATGATGTATAGTAGCTTTCATTGACTCTCAAGGTACAATGTTGTTTGGACACAATTTTAAAAGATAGGTCGACTGCCTGATAACATCTGGAAAACAATTAAATGAAAAAATTATGAGGCAACTAAGAAATAATCTGACCTATTACTGTATTTATTCGAATGAATGTCCCTCTTAGAATAAATGTTCCCCCCCCCCACCAAATAAACATGGTTTGGTTTCATTTTTCCTCGAATAAATGGCCCCACTCCCTAAATGATTGTAACCAAATCTAATGGAAGCAACGCCATACTTTAACACTTTCTATTAATGTTTTACTTCTGTAGAATTATATTTTTTCTAACCTGGTTGGGATCAATAAGTCTTTATTATTGATCAAACAATAACACATTTTGACAGTAATTAATGTGTAATATCCACATTTAGAGTGAAATTAAGGGGCATTTATTTTAGTATATAGGTATACCTATACATTTTAGACCGGACAAAAAAAACAAAAAACAAAAACGTCTCCCTCGAATAAACGCTGCACTCGTAGAGACACCCCCTTACAATAAACTCTTTTCAACACTAAATGCACTGGGGTGTTTATTCGAATAACTATGGTAAATATATTTTATTAAAAGACTTGACAGAAATGATGCACTAGCATATTTTTTCATAAGACCTTTAACTATTATAAATATTCTGTTTGCTGTGCATAGGTATTACTCTTGACTGCAAATGTAATTTTTAAAAACTTTAACAATAAAATATAGAATATTGACCAAAATATCATATTAATCAATTGTTAGTGTTTTCACCTTCATATTTGAACAGGACAAGGATTTTGGGCAGAATGGACAGAGTGGTCAACCTGTAGCGTTTCCTGCGGACCTGGAGGTTCTGAGAATCGTTATCGTGTGTGTGATGGAACGGATTGTATGGGCAGTGGTTTTGAAGGCAGATTTTGTCCCATTATTCCTTGTCCAGGTAAGACTAATTATTTTCATTTCTCAAAATGCATGAAATACATTTTGGTTTATACTATAGATAACATCTTGAGTTCATTACATTTTTCCATACATACTGTACAGTTTTATAATTTAACAGTGCAATCATTATCATTCCTGATTATGACATAATGTTGAAATATTGAATCCCAACACGATAGCATGTTTTTCAATACTTGGAGTATGTATTATACTTTCATTATCAGTGAAGTAGTTCTACTATCATATTAATTTTGTTCACATTGTATTTCTCATAGTCTTCATCTAACAAATATTGCAGTATATCAAATAGTGACTTTTTCAATTTTCCAATTTTCTAAACTAAATATTATGATTGAATTTAGTAAATGGGTACTGGTTAAGCTGGAACACTTGGAGTGACTGTACGTTGACTTGTGGTTCCGGGGAGAGGGGCAGACAGAGGGAATGTGTTGAGCCACAGTACGATGGTTTACCATGTTCAGGACCAAGCAACGAAACAGAGATATGTAATTCTCAATATTGCCCAGGTAAGGTAGATTTTATCATTCAGAGGTCAACAAATGTGCAGTTATTTTATCAGCAGTGCATGTAAAACTTGTTGTCTATAAGCTCTTTCAAGATAAATGGTCGAAGTAAAAAAAAGGTTAATTTCATCATGCAAACCTTTTTTCTTTTGTTTTTTCATTTTTTCATTCAATCATTCACTCTTTTTTCCATTGAATTAATTCATTTATTCATTAGACAATGTTAGCTTTTTCACAGCAAAACTGTGTTAAAGAGGCCCACATGTACAAGAAATAGTGTATTGAAATAATACTGTAAATGTGATTAGTACATAAATATATTATTATTTTTATTATTGTTCACCAAATTGCTTTAATTTCACGAAACTTGAGGCACTATTAAATTTTCTTTAATACTGTATAATTAATACAAAATTGTAATTTTATGTGTGTTGAAATGGCTTAATATTATCATTGAAGAAATTCAACATTTTTTTTGCATTATACTTTTTTTCTTTATTTTCATTCTCAAACTATATTATTTTCATTACAATTCTGAAGTGAACGGTACTTGGACACCATGGTCGGAGTGGACTTCATGTCCAGTGTCCTGTGCAGGTGGAACAGAGGGGAGGAACCGTACATGCGATGGTCCATATTATGGTGGTGACCCATGTATTGGCGAAGATGCTGAAAACAGGCAATGTAACACTCATCCATGCCCAAGTGAGCTCTTGGATAGACAAATATATACTGTATTTTTAAAAAAATGAATAAAAAAATATTTATTTGATTTTTATTTGAGTTTACAAGGGCTCTCTACCCAACAAAGCTATTAATTGAGACCATTGGTGCTATACACTGTCATATCTAGGAGTATTGTCTTGTTGGAGGGGAAGGGGCTATTGGGGAGTGTGAATGGTGGGGTGGGAGATTGACAGCTTTGGGTGATTTTCAAATACATGAGCGTAATTTTTTTGGCTAAGCAAATTTCTATTGAGGATGCCTTGGGGGCGTGAGTTTTTTTAGTGGGTCTTAGTGAATCTAATAGGAATGCATGCAATCACAATAGAACCCAACTCTAAATTATTGTGTGGCATTATGATCTTTAAAATTTCTTTTCTAGTTGATGGTGCCTTCTCTAATTGGACAGAATGGACTGTATGTAGTGCCACATGCAATTATGGTTTACAGGTCCGGAAGCGTTGGTGCAATAATCCGCAGCCAATGTATGGTGGGAAAGACTGTGGAGGAGAAAAAGTACAAAATAGAGAATGCTATCTCTTGATCTGTCCACGTAAGTTCAATTTGAATACTGTGATTTTACTGCTGTGCTAAAGGTCCTATTCTATTCTTTTCAATATTATTATCATAGATTTAAAAAAAAATTATTTATTCATATTCTTCACACAATTACATTAGAAATGATCATAGGAATTGTGGAAAGCCAATTGGGTAGTGTGAAAGATAGATATTAAGGAAGTTTATGATATAAATTTCAAATGTGTTATGTACCAGAAATAGTTATTATTTATTATTGCTGCGCTTATTATTTTTTTAAATTATTTTCTTAATGTTATTATAATTCTTATTTTCACAGTTACTATAATAAAGAATATTGTAAGGATATGTTAAAAAATGTCTATGTCCCCTAGGCACAAGTTTTATATGCAAAGTAATTTTGTTGGGTTCCTTACTTGGTAAAGTCATTTGAAAATGAATTTCAGTTTTATTTTTTTAAGTTTCTTAGCTCTTACTTTCTTATTATCAACCTGCAGGGCATGGAGGCTGGTCATTGTGGACAGAGTGGTCAGTTTGTACAGCAACGTGTGGATGGGGTGCAAGAAAACGTTACAGATCATGTGACAATCCTGTTCCGATGTATGGTGGCGCTTTTTGTGTAGGAACTGGTATTGCAGCTGAAAGCTGTATTAAGGAATTGTGCCCCGGTAATGATGATTAGGGGAATAATGAGGATGATAATGACAATAATAGATAATAATTATGGTAATGATACTGTCAATAAATTAAATGGAGCAAAGAAAATATAACTGCAATTCAAGACTGGCTGCTATCAGAGGTGCCTTGATTGTTCACCAGTTGGACTTTTTCAGTCACCGGCAGCTTTATCTCATTGTAATTTTATTGTATATATACCAGTTTGAAGTTGAATATATAAAATAAATAAAGTAGCAACTTTTGAAATACCATTCTGATGTTTTGCCAACTAAGCTAAGACACCTATAGCACTTGCTGTGAAGGAATATAAAAATAAACTACCCAGTAATAATAATAATAATAATTATTAACATAAATGTTGATTATGCTGATTATTTAGAGTATAATTATACTGTATCTAAAATGTTTTGGTTATCATCTTACTATTCATCTTCACTATTTTTATAAATGTTATTTAAAAAAATTATTCATTGACATTTGTTTCCTTGTGTCAACATAGTGCATGCCAGCTGGGGCTTGTGGGGCAGTTGGAGTAACTGTAGTCAAAGTTGCGGAGCAGGGGGAACATATGAAAGAGAACGGATATGTGACAGTCCCCCAGCCTTGTATGGTGGAGAGCATTGCTTTGGAAGTAATGTATCTGTTGGTGAATGCTATGTTAAGAGATGTGAAGGTAATCATTTTTATTGTGTCTGTTTTTTTGGTTATTTTTAATCACATCTTGAGATTTAACTTAATATTTTCTGTATTCTTAAATTTATTCCAAGGTCTAAATTATGATTAGTTTTGCATTAAAGTGACTTGTCCAATGTCCATCTTAGTTGTGTTTACAATGCATTACAACTGTCAGAGGGCATATTATGTTTTAAAAGCAAGAAGCCAGCCAATCAAGTGATTAATATATCTGGATGTTTACATTTTCATCAAGGATTGAATCAAATGTGTGATTTGCCCACACATTTCATCATATCACACCCATATATGGGTAAACACATGTATCTGTCACTTTAAACTTGACAGTGGGGACACCCTGTGTGTTTACTTTTTCATAAATGATTGAATAAAATGTGTGATTTTGTCAGCCCATATATGATCATATCACACCCATATATGGATAAACACAGGTATCTGTCACATTAAAGCTGATAGTGTTACAGTGCTTGAGATGGTTCTGAATTACTAGTACTATGCAATCACATGAAATCCATACAGTGTAAATTATATAATATTAATCTATGAAGGTGAAATGTATACATACATCAAATACAAGATGAATGCGTGTAACATGATGGATGGAGATCAATTCCAAATCATAATGGTTTTCAGTTAATTTTCTTAATGATGAATAATAAATATTTGGCCTCAAATTGGTACATAATCCAATACATTTGCAAACTCTTCACTGCAAAATTATTCATAATTTTTAACATTCCTTTTCTTAAATTTCTCTTTCTCATAGACTAGCATGCAATATGATTAGATTTAATTACCTTTCTATTTCTATTGTTTTTTTTTATTATGCTTGTTACATTGTATATAGTGTTACAGTGCTTGAGATGGTTCTGAATTACTAGTACTATGCAATCACATGAAATCCATATCCAGTGTAAATTATATAATATTAATCTATGAAGGTGAAATGTATACATACATCAAATACAAGATGAATGTGTGTAAAATGATGGATGGAGATCAATTCCAAATCATAATGGTTTTCAGTTAATTTTCTTAATGATGAATAATAAATATTTGGCCTCAAATTGGTACATATTACAATACATTTGCAAGCTCTTCACTGCAAAATTATTCATAATTTTTAACATTCCTTTTCTTAAATTTCTCTTTCTCATAGACTAGCATGCAATATGATTAGATTTAAGTACCTTTCTATTTCTATTGTTTTTTTTATTATGCTTGTTACATTGATTTATTTATTGATTGATTAATTAATTGATTGATTGATCAATTGATTAATTGATTGATTGGTTGAATGATTAATCGATTTATACAGTGCAAGGTACTATAGGCCTATCTCAAATTATTACTTATTGGTCGATTAACCAATATTAATCAATCAGTGCTGAATTGAATAATTGGTTTGTTGAAATTGATTTGTTGGATTGAATAATTGATTGATTGAATTAATTGATTTGTCTGTTGAACAGTTGATGGTGGTTACACTGAGTGGAGTGAATGGGGAGATTGCAGCAAGGAATGTGAATCAGGCATACAACAAAGAAACCGCAATTGCACCAACCCACCACCCACTCCCCCAGATGGTCAGTGGTGTCATGGAGTTGCAAATCAAACGAGGGTGTGCAACACTCATATTTGCCCAGGTAAGCTTCAATGGTATTTCAAGAGCTCAAGTTGAAATTGGATAAAAATAAGTCTCACCTCTATCTTCATTTAATTAATAACATAAAACAAATTAGAAGACAATGAACAATGGGTTTTAGTGGTACAGAGATCTGTACCGCACCTTCTGACAAGATTAAATTAGCTTAATTGATTATTAAGAGATAAATTATGTGATATCTATACTAGTTGCTGTTTATCAGGTGGTATATCTAAGGGAGAGTGTGGGAGCAGGTCTCTAGATAAATTTTGTACCTTCAGGCTTCACTCCTGCCTGCACTGAACAACCAGCTTAGCAAAAAAATTGCACGTAAACAGTTAAAAATGGCATCATATGACCTCTTTCCCCAGCTAGAGCCCCCTCAATTTTCCATCATATTATATACTATTTAATTAATAATTGGTTATTTAATAACAGATTAATAACAACGTGTAATTAATTAAACTCAATAGATACTATTTTGATTAATATTTGTATGAGTAGTTATGGACCTTGAAGAAAGGATTACCAGACATTTGATCTCTTTTTAATAATTTTTTAAAATACATATAATAAACACTGTAACATAATATTTTATATTCTTTGTTGCCTCTAAATATTTAGTTCATGGAGGCTGGGCAGAATGGACGCCTTGGACAGAATGTGCAGTCACTTGTGGAGGAGATACAATCACTAGGAACAGGCTTTGTACCAACCCTCCACCCATATTTGAAGGCAACGACTGTGAAGGGGAACCGTCTGAAGAAATTGATTGCAACACAAATGGATGTCCAGGTGTGAATTGAGGGCTGAAAATTGTAAATTTATTAAAACAATCGTATTACAATTATAAAATTATATCATTGTCAACATCATCATCATCATCACCATCATCATTATTGATATCATCATCATTGTCATCATCATCATTTCATTTCATTTATTTATTCAGACAGGTGTCTTGGGGCCCCAAAAGCAACAAAATCACCATGACAAAAGTCTGGAGCCCCAGAAAACTAAACTTAACTACATTATTAGCGAGTATATAAAAAGAAAGGTTTAAAATGTAAAAAGTGAAAGGCCAAGACAATTAAAATAATAATTAAAAAAACACTGATTTCGCACACAATTGAATAATAGATAAAATTTCATAAAAGAACGATAACAAATTTAAGCATCGAGAAAAAATTGTATAACTTGCCTTAAGAAAACCGAGAGAGAACAAAGGACTGAAGAATCTTTTAGTTCAGAAAGAAGTGAGGACCAGAGAACAGGGAAACAATGGATAGCTGAGAATTTGAGACAATTAGTGCGAGCGTAGGGATGTTTGAAGGTGAGAGAATCAGGGTAACAAGGATTAATTGCAAGATTATCAACAACATTGTAACAGTAATTAAAATTTTACAAACAATGAAAAATAAAAGAGATTAAAATTTGATCACGACGGTCCTTAAGGGACAGCCAGTTTCATCGTCATCATCATATTCATAATCATATTCATAATCATATTCATAATCATCAGGGTAAAATAAAATTTGGCAAAGCACAGTAACAAAGGACCTTTATGCTAAGCCCCGCCCCTTGAATATTGTTTCCAAGGTCCCACAAAACAACTATGAAAAAACATATGCAAACATGAATAATTATGAGACAATGTGTCACATGAATATTTATGAGACATGTGTCACATGAATATTTATGAGACAATGTGTCACATGAATATGAGACACAATGTGTTACATTAATATTTATGAGACACACATGTGTTACATGAATATTTATGAGACACAATGTGTTAATGAATATTTATGAGACACATGTGTCACATGAATATTTATGAGACACATGCGTATTCCTGGTCCTGCTCTGATTGGTCAGTTGTTAAGCATGATTGACACTCCAGAAAGATTAATTTGAAATCAGGGTTGGTAAGTTGTGACTTTTTTTTACAAATTTTACTGTCTGTAGTCTAATTCTATTCATTTATTATCAATCTTTCGACAAAGAACAGAAAAAGTTGAACCGGGTTGCCGAGGAAAAGCAAAAGTTAGAAAACTGTCATCGATTGATGTGTTTAACCGAGCCCCTGCCAACAAAAACAATATTAAACAATATCATTCACAGGAAACAGTAATCAAAAAGTAGCACACACAAAAAAAATTTTTTAAATAAAATTTATCAAGTTATTTTAATATTAACACTTTATAATTGTTCCAATTAACATATTTCTAAAAATTTACCATTTGCATTTGCAGTGGATGGAGCCTGGACTACATGGTCAGAATGGTCAAGCTGCAGTGTCACCTGCGCAGGTGGGACGAGGAGTCGTACAAGGACCTGTACAAATCCAGAGACAGCCTGGGGTGGAATACCCTGCCCCTCACATGATGAGACTGAACAATCTGAGACCTGCAACTCATTCCACTGTCCAAGTATGCTGTTGTTGATTAATTAATTTGCAATCGAAGTTTAGTAAAAACTGCCAAAAATGGAAGGGAACACTGCATTTTGAAGCACCTAGATGGAAAAAAACACTAATCAATCCTCCATTTTATTAGGATATGTATCCAATCATGCCAGCAGCGTGAAGGAGGGGGGGGGGGTCTGGAAAATTGTCCCTCTTCTCAGACAAGCATGGACCCTATCTTCTTAATTTACTGATTTACCCATAGTTATTTTGATTGAGTTATAACATTGTGGTCTAAAAGCACAATTTTTACCATCCTTGCTCATAAACCCTCTCCCTTGACCCCACTAGGGGTTTTACTCCAGGACCCTGATTGGCAGCTCAAGACAACCCCTTGGTTTGATGGTTTGTAACCCCTTATCTTGTACTTTCTGGAGCCATCTCTGTATTTCCAAAAAAGGTCTGATAAATGCCAGTGGACCTTACTGTACTTGGCATGTCTGATTACTATTCATGAACAATATATCACAAGATTAAGCATTCTCTCCCAGCCAGGGAATTGATATTTACTTCAGTTGAATAATTTCCAATTGGGCATTAAAAGATTTAATGTTCAATCAATCAATCAATCTATTAAGTTATTAAGGTTCAGTGAGCTGGAGTTGTTGTCACATTTGGTGATGACTTACACCTTTATCAACCTGTGTGACAGGTAAGTTACAGGTGAGGTCAGTTGTGGGTTGATGTCAGGTGATAAATCAAGCAAATCTAAAGACAAGTAGTAATTGAAGATTTGCTAAAGTAGGCTTGCAATGCTTTTATATATATTGACAAATTATTATGGATTTTTTTGTTCTATTCATTAAAATTTCATATAATATTCAATGGTTTATGTGACTGACTGCCTGATTGGTTGATTAAATGAGTGATTGATTGATTGATTAATGGAAACAAATCTGACCAAAATTAATGACAAAAAACATGGTATTATAGTCATAGGACAGTACTATTTTTTTTCATAACTTTGGATTTTATCATACAGTATTTTTATTTGTTTTTATTAATGTTATGGTAGGCCTATGTAGCATGTATTTCCACAATCATAATTGTAATATTATAAGCAATTTAATAGATGACTGTATTATAATCATTACAGATGTTTTGTATTATTACCAGAACACATATTTTCAGTATTTTGTGATTTTATTTCAAATATTTGTCATTATCATTAAAGTTGATGGTGAATGGTCAGAATGGTCGGCGTGGGCAACTTGTCCAGTGACTTGTGGTGGCTTCGAGTTGACGAGGAACCACACATGTGACAATCCTATCCCCCAGTATGATGGTAAACCATGCCCAGGTTCCAGCATCGACAAACTCACCTGTAACAATGAACCATGTCCAGGTATATAGATCTTTTGTTCATGTGATTTGAAACTGGTCGCTTTATATTGCATTATAGTGGTATGCCTATAGTTCTTTTTATTTCTAATATGAAGTGCATTGAGGCTATTAGCAAAATGTGCAGCTAAATTATTATTGCATGCAATTCTCTATCAATTTTTATAAGACTTAATTTCTCCTTTTTTCATTAATTAGACATGCTGGTAATCTTATTTTTCTAATTTATTAATTGTAATTAATATTTTAGTTTCTGTCTCTGAGAATCTTATTTATTTATTTATTTTTTTAAAAACATATTTATGGAGGGTGATCCTTCCAGCGTATCCTTGAAGGTCGGCTGATATTCTGGGCCTTCTTAAATATGTAAAATAATGTGGAATAATGTAAAAAAGATGCTTTTTTTCAGCAAAGTCTTTTTATGAGGCTTAGAGAGTGGGGGTTTTTAACAGTGAAAAAAAAATCCTGCTGTTGCAAGCTATTCAACTCAACTCATAATTATGACTGTATGATTGTGTTTTGGTATAGTTAATATTGTTAATGTTTTTATCTGGTTTAAAATATCTGAGATTTACGTCCGTATTCTTAAAACAAACTTTAGTCGAACTTCGAACTAGAACTTCATCTGTGGCAAAGACAAGCCAAACCAGTCACTCGTCGCAAAAATCGATTTTGAGTTATTAATACAGTGTTAGAGAGTAAAATAATAGCTATACAATGGTAAAAAAATCATTCAAATCGGACATTTCCTTATGAAGTTGCAAGCGTTTAATCACACAGCTGTTTAAAAAACAATATATGAGAAATCAGCCTTCGAAGTTTATGATTTCAGGCATTTCGCATGCAGAAACTATCTCTAAATCCTTAAAAAGTGTTGTTTTAACATTGAAAATGGGGAAAATAATAGCATAGAATGATGTATAAATATATAAAGGTTAGTTTAGTGCAATAAAATAGATTTTTAAAATTTTGACATTCCAGCATGTTTTGGCCATTTTCTCTGTAACACGATTTGCGACGAGTGACTGGTTTGGCTTGTCTTTGCCACATTTTAGTGCTAGTTGCATCTTTAACTTCAATTTGTATTCACAAACAATGTAGTCGAAGTTTTAACTACGACTAAATCAAGTCCTAGTTTTAGTTCAACTGAAGACGACTGGCAAGCCACGACTATCAAACTAACCAACGAAAAAGGGCTAACTTTTATAGTAGACGAAATTTTAGAGATCCGGTAACGCGGATGAATATTAGGCTGCCGTCTGTGGTTCAAAAACGTATTTCCTCATAATTCATAATAGACCATCATTCCATTAATTAATTTTCTAAAATAATAACTATATTAGTTGCTAACTATTATTACAATAGAGAATTTCAACAGACACTGAAAATTTGCTTTCTTTGGAGAACTATTATAGTTGAGCCCGAGCGAGGGCGGCGCCATCTTTGTTGTTGTTATTGTGAAGCTACGTGATCGCAACGCGAGGGGATTTCGTATGTGGCTAGCAAAACATGTTAACTTAGAAGCTAAACTTGATGTCTCTTTTGTTTAACACACCGAAGATATATTAAACCTGTGTATACAATCGTTTTTATTCGTTTCATTTTATCGTGAGTTACAAAAAACACGTTTTTAGTAAGATAAATATTTCAAGTCGGCAATTTAGCCTGACCCTAGGCTGACTAAAAAAAATCGGCCTGCGGAGGTATCACTTTAGTCGAGGTTCACGTCATTTAGTCGTAGTGCTAGCCGAAGTTCGTTTTAAGAATACGAAATGACGTAATTTTAAAGTTTTAGCTCGAACTACGACTAAAGTTTGTTTTAAGAATACCGGGGTTAAACTATTGTATGTCAGCCTACAGTGCAGCTGTCCCAAGGCAAAACATGCTTTTATATTTTTGTTAAGTTACGTTATTTTGCCTTGGAACGGCCAAGTGAGATAGGATACTGATAACCAATATTTCCTACTTTTAGTGGATGGTGAATGGTCTATGTGGAGCGTTTGGTCAGACTGCAGCGTAGAATGTGAAGGTGGCACACAGACTAGGTCCAGGACCTGCTCAGACCCTGCCCCAGCTTATGGTGGATTCCCCTGCCCCAGCAATGTCACAGAATCTGAAGAAGCATCGCTTGAAGATCTGGAACAAATCGAGACTGAAGAAATAACTTGTAATGAACACCGCTGTCCAAGTAAGCATTGATGCCTATATAAAAGAAGCTAGTGGTTAAGTGGTTAGGTAGGCCTAATTATAGCATTATCTGAGAATCAGTGCTTAAAATCCAATTCTAATTTTAGGCATTGTGATTTATGATTTTATTTTTGACCATGTTAGAATTTTTCGAGACTAAAGTTACTTTAAAATATAGAAGTGGTCTTCTTTTCAAAATAAATGCTGTAAATTTGGTGAATTTGTACTATAAAACAAATAAGGCCACTGTAACATCAATCTGTATCATGGAGTGTATTTAACTGGCATTAAATCATCTAAACTACTGTATAAACCAAGTTTTCAATTTATTTTGTTTTCTGAAATTCATGTACAGTGTATATACTGTACAATCTCGAAAAGAAGCCTATGCTATCTTGAAAAGAAGCCCATGGGCGTCTTTTTGAGATGGGCTTACTTTCGAGGCTTATTTTGCAAACTAAAGAGGGGGCTTCACTTTGAGATGGGCTTTATCTCGAGATTAAGCCCACTGGGCTTCAATTTTACGGTATGTATGAGAGATACTTCTGGTCTTTGCACTTGAAAAAAAAAAAATATATGTCAATTGGGTTTGGGATTGAAAGTGGAACTGGATTTGAAAATGAACCTGGGTTGGCAGGATTTGGAGTAAACTTGCCACCTGTTATTATTTATTACTTAGTATTAATCTCCTTCAAGACAGCAGCCCCAGCAAGCAAATTACTTTGAGCAATTTGGCCATGGCCAACAAAATTTCGAAATGAGAGAGTATTTCATTGATTCATGGATTTTATTCATTCAATAAACACATAAAGCACCAAACATACAATTATTATTAACATATGAAAAAAATTAAAAATAGTATTTTGAATCTTGTCTTGTTCTGTTGCCAGTCCATGGTGGTTATACCGATTGGACAATGTGGCCCGAGTGCCCAATATCTTGTGGCGGTGCTGTAATATGGCATCATCGGAATTGTACCAACCCTGAGCCACGCTATAATGGAGACGACTGCAAAGGACCAAGTTCAGAGAGCAAGCTTTGCAATGATGATGTGCAATGCCCTAGTGAGTAACAAATTCCTGCATATTGACACCAAATTGATTTAAATTATAACTTGAATCGCTTGGTGAAAGAAGATTCTTTAAGTAATAATTTATTAAACCTTTTGTTTTACCTTATATAAAGCTTGGTTTCGCTAAAGTTTGTGTGTTGATCTGTACATATCCTTAGCTCTGTCAACACTATCAAATTTCCTTTGATAAAAAACTGTTGTATGTCCATATATGGTCATGATGTTGCTATATATGGTCATGATGTTGCTATATATGGTCATGATGTTGCTATATATGGTCTTGATGTTGCTATATATGGTCATATTGTTGCTATATATGGTCATGGTGTGATGAAACTGATGATTGGAAGAGACTGACGATAAGGCCGATTAAGAATTGTAATTATTTGCTTACGATTTATTTTTCAATGTTTTCATTCTCTCGCTACTAATAACAGTTGATGGTAACTGGGGTCGTTGGCTTGACTGGTCGCAGTGTTCCAAACCATGTGAGGGCGGTGAGTCTAAACGTATACGTCTTTGCAATAATCCATCACCATTGTATGGGGGAAAGCGATGTAATGGTACCTCACAGGAAACAAAGACTTGTAATGAGCACAGATGTCCAGGTAATTGATTGCATTTTTGTTTGAGTCATTTATATATTTATTTATTTTTAGTATTTTTGTTTTAACTGAGAATTAATTATGATAAAGGTTATACAGAAGAAGAAGCATTTTAAAATAATATAAAGATATTTAAAACAAAAACAGGGTAGCAAAAACAGCGATGTATATAGGGGTGTGCATGCACCCTCCCCCCACCCCCACCGAAGATTAAAAATGTCTGAAGCAATAAAATTTTGAAGTAGTTAGAAACCACCTTATTTTGCAACCTAGCGCTCCCTTACTTAATCATTAAGCCCCACACTCTAACATATGGAAAACTTTTTGGTTTTTTTCGCGTTTGCCTTCGCTGTTAAGAGTTTGAACCAGGTGATGCAGATCGCTAGAGCGAGACCGTGTTGTAATGTTCCATTATTGAATGGATGAAATACAGTTCATGCCCGCACAAAAAACCTACATAGCGAACTGTTACTAAACAGTCAGAAAATAAAAAGTAAACGTACAATGCAGTCACACTTTTAAATGCAATAAGATTCCTGTGGGTATCATTTTATTTCAAAAAAATATCAGAAGTCTTAAAAATTTTCCCTTTGTATCGAATGGATGTGTACTGAAACGCTTGACCCATATCCTTGGAAAGGACCGTTTGTGAAATATACACTTATTTTAAAAGCAAAAGTGCATAATTAGGACCTACACCAATCACTTCAATTTTTATATTACAAGGAAGGGTATTTTTATACTGTTATATTCCGGCCAAACCCTGTTGAAATCTCATCTGGTTTATGTCTGAGGCTTGATTTAGTGAGGTGACCTCTTCTGAATCGACACAAATCATGGCCATTTCCTATTCTACAAGGAACAGAATGCATTTTTTCAGTTCAAAAGTGCGTATTCCAAATTCTTGAGAAGGCGAATGAATTTAGTAATTGGAAAGTAGATAATATTTACTTTCAAATTCTGTGCGAAGCCATAAGAAAAGTTACTTTATTAGACAACAGCGCCTGAATTTAGCCCACCAAGTGTAATATTCAAGGCTCTGTTCCTGTGCTTAACGGCATGTGTGAGGCATGGCAACTCAGAAGTTTTCCATGTGTTCGCGCCCCATCAGCCCCCTCCCAATTTCAAGATTTCTAGATACACCACTGAGCAAAAAAGATCAAGTAGAAATTATTTTTTTCTCTCTCTAAAGTTCATGGTGGTTATTCAAGGTGGACACCATGGGAACCATGTTCAAAATCCTGTGGAGGTGGACAAACGCTTCGTACACGAACTTGCACAAATCCGGTTCCACAATTTGGCGGTAATCCATGCTATGGAATTCTTTTTGAGAGAAAACTCTGTGCCGCTTTCTACTGTCCAGGTAAGAAAGTAACATTGTTACCACTTTCCTAAAATTTCCCATGCCTTCTAAATATTCTACAATTTATAAATTCAAAATTTTCTCATGATAAATTTAAATTCTTACCCGATAGTGCATGGTGGTTATTCAGAGTGGAGCGAGTGGTCCACTTGCCCAGTAGTCTGCGGTGGTGGTCCATCTCATCGAAGCAGGATCTGTAATAATCCATCGCCAAAGCATGGTGGTAGGCCATGTGAAGGACCAACAACAGATTCGACAGTGTGCAATGACATGGAGTGCCCAGGTATATAATTTGTTATCAAGATGAGACTGAAGTATTACATTGGGGAGCCTTAGAAATATTTTTTCACGCAATTACATATCAAATAAACATCAGATCATCTATAGTTGACCTTAATAAGGAATCTAATCATAAAGATACAAATTTATTGTATTTATCAATAAGAGGCTTTTTCTTCGTTAAAATCAGTTGTACAACAAACTTTATTTCAATGTTTAGTTGACGGTAGCTGGACAGAGTGGTCTGAATGGTCAGCCTGTAGTCAGACGTGTGAGCTTGGCTACCGTAGCTCTAGCAGGGAATGTACTAACCCCGAACCTCAATACGGTGGTCTAGACTGCCAAGGGGAGGCTTATAGGATGTACTACTGTCCTATACGTACGGACACCTGCCCAGGTAAGTGATTATGAAGCAAAAGAAAGCAGGCTGTTTGTATTTTAAATGCAGTAACAATATACCCTAATAAATTCTATAAATGTGGCAAAGACAAGCCAAACCAGTCACTGGTCGCAAAAATCAATTTTTAGTTTACTACAGAGTTAAACAGTAAAATGAGAGCTATAAAATGGTAAAAGAATAATTTAAATCTAAAATTTCCTTTATAATAAGTTACAAGCTTTTAAACATAAAGCATTTAAAGAACAATATTTGAGAAATCAGCCTTCAAAGTTTATGATTTCAGGCATTTCTTAGGCAGAAACCATCACCAAATCGTTAAAAATTGTTTTAACATTGAAAAAGGGGAAAATAACAGCATAGCATGATGAA